ACTTAAAGTAAAGAAGTGTTATTTTAAGTGAAATTGTTTTTCAGTACTTAAAATACACATTTTGAAAAGGAGTGACTTGAAGGAAGATACTAATTGAAGATAACTACTTGAAAATACAAAATCTCCTTTGAATTCTTTATATGAGTATTTCATTTCTAGTCTTGTTAACTAATTTTTGTGTATGTGAATTTCTGCAACTGTCTACCTAATATAGTTTGGCATGCTGCAAATTTAAAGAAAGTAATGTTGATTCACCATTTTCTAACATAATTTACGAGTCAGAATTAAGAATATTAATATATATATAAATAAAATATTATTAACCAGAAAAATATATTGTCTGTAGTCATATTAAAAAAATCAAATTTATTGAGAAGTTTTATAAATCTATAGGTTTTAATGTTTACTGACAAGTGAGACAACCTCTGTTTAGGAAGATAACTAAAAGCTGCATATGTGAAATGAGATGAAAATCTTTACTTAAATCCTCAGAGTTTGGTTAGCTGTTTGGAATGAGTGTTAAATTGATTATTTAAAATAGAATTTTGATAGGCAGTGTTCTTCTAGGTAACGTGGAAATAGATAAATGAGTGGCTTTCCCAATTCAAAGTAGCAAATTAAAGGAGAAATTAGAGGGCTTTCCACACACTAGAGGAGTTTATAGGCAGAGTAATACTTAACTAATGTAGTCCCATTCTGTGAAGTTTAGTAGTAAACAGAAGACCAGCAACCTTATTTATAACTGAGTGAAAGCCTTAAATGGTACTTGTGTAAAGGATTCCACAGTTCCTAGACTTTCTTGCCACATCCTGTATTAGGAGATAAAGAACACAGATCTTCCCAGAAAGGCAAGCCAGTCTTTCTGTCACTCTGTGAGTGGGTCTGAAGCAGCAGGGGCAGTTGTGAGGAGTGAAGTGGTAGCTGCTGCATTCCGCTTGAAGACATCCCTAAGGGTTCTCTGCAGCCTGCTGTCCTACCTCACTCCAAATCGGGATCAACAAAGGAGCGAGGATGTTGCATCTGATTGCAGTGAAGATTTTGTATGATAGCTGCGTGGGTCTCAGTGGGCTGTCTGAAAAATATTTGGCTCAAATTTTGTGTTGCAGCCATTCACAGTTGTACCCTTTTCTTTGTGTGTGTAGGGGAAGGCATTAGTTGCTGTGTAATTTTCTGACTTGTCTTTTAAAGGTGTTCCGATACTGGCCGTGAGGATCTCTTCTGTCTGCAAAAGCATCTTTCAGTATCTCTTGAATATTGTATTAAGCAGAACTCTGTGAAGTGGTAGCTGCCCGTGTTTCACTTCGATTTTTCTCACAGTTTTTCAGTCTTGCCAAATTTCTGGGAAAGGCAGGGTCTCACATCTCCTACAGCAGCACAGTGTGTTACCTAGAACTGTGGAGGCAGCCCACAGGGCAGCAGATGGATGGAAAGAGCAGCCCAGCCGAAGTGGAAGAGGATCCTCCCCTGTAAACTGCTAAAGCCAATGACCACCGATTTAAGTAATCTGTACAGCTCCACTGAAATGGAGTTTTCTGACTTCTAGATAGGCAACAGACCCTTGCTTTCCCCTAAACCCAGGCTGGGGCTCAGGGGATGGGAGGGGAGTGAGCATCTTGTGAGGAGGCGAATAATTTAGTATCTGCTGCCTAAGATGTAATTGCCTTAATAAAGGAGAGAGAACTCATTTCTTGTCAAATGCTATTTTATTTTTGTAATAGGAAAACATTTAAAATCAGGATTTTCAAATCATTTCGGTTCTGACTTATTAATAAAAATAATGCTGATGTCATATTCTGTGAGTTCACATTGAGGTTGATTGTAACTCAGTTCTTATTTACATAAAACACATATGAAAATTATTGATGAAACTGCCAAAGTGATATTTATTTTATGTAAGCTTGAATTATGTAGAAAAGCCGCATGTTTTCAGGTATTATTAATAGACTGTAGTTTCCATTATGAATAAATATTTTTACTAGTTTGCAAGACAAAGCAAGGATGATTAGAGGGGAAAAATGTTTCCTAGGCACCAAATCTAAAATACAGAGCCTGTTTATGCACAGAATTAGTTCTGTGATGATCTGGACTGTCACATATCCAGTTTTACAGAGGGAGTTATGTGAGCTGGAGAAAAAAGCTTATTACTTGGGGAGAAGAATAATGAATTTTGTGGCATGCGATTTCTTTTCAGTAGTAAACTAGACTAAATGTGAGTGTTTTGATTTCCAACTCCCTCCCTCTTAATGTAATCCATATTCTGTTGGCATGTAGTTTCAAGAAGTAATCAGAAATACTTTCTTTCCTGCAATTCATTTCTAAATGATACAAGGAAAAAAAAACCCCAAAATTATGAGAAAAGGTGTAACTGAAATTCTCTCAATGCCTTAGATGCATTCTGTGTAAACCTTGAATGTGGTATTGATTCCTCAGGATTAAATTAATTTAAATGAATGAGAGACTTTACTGAAAAAGGACACATGCATTCTGCCAGTAAATACTTTATGCCAGTATGGGTAATGCTGGCATTTATGTTGTAGTGGTGTAGTAGCTACAGATACTAGTGCTGTATTGGCAGTTCTGGCATAGGATTTAGGTCACCTAAGGACCTAGTGTATACCAGTCAAGTTAACTGTTGGGTCTCTCTTTTTGGTACTGATGAATGCAAAGGTTGAATTTAGAAGCCCGTTTCAGCCACTGAAATGTTGCATAGGTCTCATATGGGTGTATACAATAGCAGGTACATTGATCAGGAAATGTGTTTTCTTCATTAGTTGCCAGCACCTGGACCACTAACTTAATATGCTGTGGTTTTCTGTCTCTTGAAGGATAAAATGAATTGTCTTAATATAACTAGAAAATGAGTTGATGGTGAGAGTGAAATGTTCTGAAACTGGTGTTGGGAAGCACTGCATAACAATTTGCTGAGCAACCAGCTGAAGCATCGGCATGAGTTCTCAACGACCTCACCCCCTTGCTCAGCGTTATAGTCCTTTGGGAAAGGGGAGGAAAATATGAAAACATTTCCATTCTTGAAGTTTTGCTGAATTGTAATACTTCATTGTCACACAGTTACTTAAATGATCCACATATGGTTTAAATAAGCAGCCACAGTATCATACCTTTCTTTTGATTAATGTATTAATTTTTTTTTTCCTTTGTATCTGATATATGAAGTTGAAATGTCACGTGTTGGCTTGGCTGGCTGTTAAACCAGTTAATAACTTGCCATACAACCCTGTTTTCAATAACTTATTTCTTTGGACACTTCAGCTGTTCAGGATGTAGTTTTCTATGCCAGGTGCCTGTCCCAGGCTGAAGTTTTAGAAGCTGCTGTTTTTGACAATGAGATGGAGGAAAACTACATTTCACCTAGCTAAGCACACGGCTGTATCTGAACTGAGTGGCTGTTTCTCTTTCTGTGGTTTGTAATAAGGACTTGAAATCTACAAGGAAGTCTCAGGAGTTTTATTTTATTCAAGACAATCCAGCTAAAAACAGTTATCAGCCTCCAAAATTCAGAACTCTTGGATGGTTCTACTTGGTCCTGCTACAGCTGTGGTGCAGGTGACAGCACTTTGCAGAAAGGTAGATGTGACTGTGCCTCCGGCAAGTAGGAAGTGTAGTTTTGTCTGTGGAGTGAAGAAGTGTAATTCAGGAGAATAGGAAAAGGATTAATAGTTCTTTCTTGCAGGTTGCTTTTTTGTTTGTTTTCTGGGGAATGACATAATTCTGCCTTTACGTATCCATTGCAGAGTCTCCCTGAAATTAGTGTAGTGGCTGTCAAAGTAAAACCTACCGTCAGTGTAAGATTAAGGGGAAAATTTAAGAACACATTAATGTAAGCAAAGTACTGGATTATTTGTACTTCTGTTTGTTTAATTAGTAGCACCACAAAAGGGTATTTGTGGTGTTTCAGTATTGACCTCAGTGGAAGCCTCTGATAGCACCTGGAATAGGGCATCATTTTAATTGGAAAGCCCTTGTATTAAAGATGACTGCTTTTACAGGGGCACACTGGTAACCAGCAGAGATGGGAAAGTTCTGTCACCTTATTCAGGTGCTGAGAGATAAGTAATGTTTTGTCAACTTTGGAGAATAATTATCTGATAAAATACCCTTTATCCTTTTTGTTACAGAAGCAACTTTCAGTAGTCATTAAGCAGCATAGGTTAATTTATCTGGTCTTTTTAATATTTTGCCTTTTAAAAAAAACTATGGTTTATAAATCTGATCATACTGCTTGTATATACTGTACTGTTTGTATTTGCCAGAACATTTGTTTATATCCAGGTTGACAATGGTACTTGCCCATAGCACTGATTAGTCAATCAAAAATGTTGCTTTGGGGCAAGTGGGATCTGCCTTTTGGAGTATACGGTAAACCTATCCCCTTTCCCTCACCAAATTGTGTCTTTGGGAAAAATTAGTATAGCCAAAGCATAAGTTTAGATATATGGCAAACCTTTTAGACCCTAGACAGGCCTGTGAGATTACATTGTGAGAGATGTAAAATTTTTATAGCTGTGTGTTATTTAGGGAAGTAAGCAAACACCAATAGATGCTTCTGGCCTACTCTTCAAGTTGAGGAATTTTTGAGAAGATATTTCCCTCCTCACAACCCTTCCACTTTTTTTGAAATGGTATGTGTTCCTGAATTTGCAGAAAGGAGACATGCCTCAAGGGCAGTAGATGCAGGAAGTTCAGATGGTAGAGTGTGCATTTCTAGAAAAAGACTAGAAGAAAGGCCACTTTCAGACTGTACTCAGTCTAGCCAATAAAATTTCACATGCACCTAATCTGTATGCTATGTCTTTCTGCAATAGAAGAATTGAAGAGAGTTGCTCTTGAATTACACATCCTGAAAGTATTGATCTTTAAGGCTGAGGCTGTGTATGCTTTGAATTTTAATGTTCCTCTCCTTTCTCTCTTTCTAGCTGGAATGCTTGCTGCTTTCCCTACAGGACTGTAAGCTTTGATATTCAGAAGAGCAAAACTGAAAGATGCCATCTGAGAGGTGCCTCAGGTATAGTGCTTGGTAGCATGTAGGAAGTCATTCACGCTTAGGATTATATTTACCAAAACATCAGTTAACAGGGAGTAGAAAAGTGAAACTACTTTTTTGTTCATTAGGTAAGAATTCACATTATTAAATACACATCCATGTTATAATTTGCAAAACATTACTTTCTTGTTGCCACTTATCTCTAGCAAAGAGAAGCATGCCTGGGATTGATTTGGGACCCACAGTCTCTTCATATGTTATTTTTTTCATGCCTTTGTCTATACTTGGAATTTTTGATTGTGGAAGCAACTGGCATTTTACATTCATGCGTCCGAATTGGTGGCCGGTGATCATTTTTGGTGTGTGTAGTGTTCCACTATTCAGGACATATATTATTCCTCCAGTTCTTTGAAGTGGCTTCAAAGCATTCTTTCCAGACTCATCTTCCTGCCTTCCAGAACCTCCCGTTCTGTCTGTTTCCTTCTTGTAGAGTCTAGCCTATCTCATTTATTTGTATTGCCCATTGTCTCATCAGAGAACTTGATATTTATAATTTAATTAGTTTCTGGGAGCACTTTCAGGCAGAACACTCAGCAGAATTTATTTACCTAGTTGCTTTTCTGTAGAACCTTGCACTAGTCTGGTACGCTGGTAGTTTTACAGAGTAGTTAACACTCATGGGCTGATCTGTGAGCTCAGAGATCTGCCTGATATTAATATTACTGGGACATTGTATCATTCTAGTTCCTCGATCAGACAGTCCTGGTCTGGATGACATGGAAATCTTGTATTCATACAAGAAGATTTTCTGAGGTGGTAGAAGGCCTCAGCATTTTAAAAACAAGGAAACATCTTCCCGTCCCCCCTCAAAACAACAACAACAAAAACATACAAACAAAAAACCCCCACAACACTTCATAAATGTGAATGACCTGAAATGTTTGGAAAACATTCAGTAATGCAGTATCAGACTTAAACAGGCCACCTGAGACCATGAGTCTTCATTCTTGTTAGTAGGACTAGTTACATAGATATGTGCTCCTTTCCACTAATGTATCAGTTTGGGCCACTTAAAGTTTTCTTGTTGCTCCATTGACCTAGGCCCTTTATTCTTCTCACTTAATTCTAAAATGATTCTGAATTAATCCTGTGAGTTCAGCTGATTTCCAGTGCGGCCAATGAAAATTGGAACAATTGAAGTTTCTAAATTAGAGTATAACTTTGTTATACGGAGCTTTTCTTGTGATGTCCATACCATATAAAAATTTTTGCCTGACAGGGTTCATGACTTATTTTTTTCTTTCCAAGAATTATCAAACAATCTTGTCGTAGAAATAAGTTCCTCTATATTTCTGACACAATCTGCTTGTTTCCTACACTTTTTTGACAAAATCTTTCCCCTTTCCCCTCTCAGCGTTCAGGAAATGCTGACAGGTCAGAGGCTTTGTCAGTCCAGCTCTCATAACGATGCTGTCCTGGCAGCCCTGAACCAACAAAGAAGCGATGGTATACTTTGCGATATCACCCTTATTGCTGAAGAGCAGAAATTCCACGCACATAAAGCAGTCCTGGCAGCGTGCAGTGACTACTTCCGAGTAAGTCCAAAGATATTTTTTTTTCTTTTCTTATAATAATATGAAACATTATGCTGGGGGCAGGGGCAGGGATGGCTATAGATACCGTACTGAACAAGCTTTAAATTTGAGCCCTTGGAAAATCCAGGATTATCGCACATTCAGTAACGTATACAACTTCAAATATCCACATACGTGTTATAGGAAAGAAATGTTAAGAACGTAATTAAGGTTTTTGTCATTATTTATGATTAGTCTTCCCCCTCGCAATAGACATAGGCGGTACACATCTTTCTATGAATCTTATGCCCCAGTAAAGTCAGAAAGTGGAAGATGCTTTTTTAGAACCCAGACATTTGAGACAGTTGTGTTTAGAGCATGGAAGATGGGGACAGGGAATCTAAATATTAATAAATGCAATTTAAGTCAGCTTGAGAGTGGATTTTTTATAGGGATGTAAATGGTTACTCTCAAAGAGGAGGGCATAATAATTTTTTAAGCATAATAAAACGTATATTCAGAAACAAGTGTTTCTGAAATGTAAAGATGAAAATGTTCCCTGGGAAATGTAATTCAGATACTCAGCATGGAAAATTGAATCCAGGCGCTAAAATTGGAGTAACTGAAAAATTGAGTTTTCTAATAGGAAGAGCATTCTTCATATGAAGCCATTCTACTATCCTTGATTATAATGTACCTGTTCAAAATGTTGGACTGTCTATAGCTCTTTAGTTGACTGATATTTTTAAGTGTGAGTCATCCTGTTGTTATTCAGAGACTAAAGCTGAAATTAAGTTAATGGTCTATTTTCTCTAACAAAGTAAGTTTATTTAATATTTTGCCTACAGTGTAATTGTAGTGCTATGAACTTCTTTATGGTGACCTTTTTGTTTTGTTACAATAGTAATACAGTGTATGACAACTGTTCTATATCCTTAATGACCTGAGCAGAATTTTTATGTTCCTGTCAACTCTGTCTCTCTCTTGGTTAGACTTGAGACTTAATTTATTTTGTGTATTTAAGAAATATTGTTAACCTTGATGTTACTTTCACTGTGATGATGTTGAGCCAATTGATGGATCATTTGTTGAGCTTATCTGCATGCTTATGTGTTCTGCTACTGCAGACTTTGTACTGCCACAGCTGCTAACGTTGCTTTGTCATGGTGCCCTGGCCTGCTGTAACGCAGATCGCTTACCGCTTTTTTTCTTTTGCCCCAGTGCACAGAGAGGGATTTTGGAGCTCTCTAGCTCTAGCAAGTGCTATATATGCTTGTTGATGATAGATATACTACAGGGTTGCTGTTCTGGTTTGATGGAAATATTTTTATTAAGGGTGCCATATCATTCCTCCTCACCTGTGACATACATTCCTTCCAGAGCTTATTATACCCCGTGCATAGAGTCATCATAGAGTGGGCAGCTGTACCTAATGTTCAAGCAGTGTTGTAGGAACAGCTTCTACCTTGGTCATTTATTGATTGACCTTGAGATTTGGGGCACTATGACTCACCCTGTTACTTCCAGTTGAGTTACTTGGTATTTTCTGGACAGATATTGCAAATTAAATCTTAATGCCCTATGGAAAAGAAAAAAAAAAAGTTTTACAATAGATAAAATTGCTAATTTCTATGTGAATCTTTTCTATTTAAAAAAAATACTGACAGAATGATCTATAGAGCTTTTAGTAATTTGATCTGCCTGAAAATTGTTCTAATTTGGTAGGATGTATTCTTCAGACTTTAGCTATCAGCCATAAATGTGGAACCTGTTCTTTCTGAAATCAGCCAAAAGGTTTCTATTATTAATGGACAAAAAGCTTTGTTAGAAAATTGTGAAATGGGATTTATGTTGTGTAGGAAGATGGCAAAAAAGTTACTATGTATACTATGTTCCCGATTCTAACAATTTAGAAAAAGGAAGAGTTGATTAAAAAGTAATATTGTTTTGTATTTAAACTGAGATTATTAGTGTTTTTATATCTGTGGGGGATTTTGACTAATTTGAGCTACTTGAGTATTAATTTTTTAAGATTTAGCAGAACGATGCCAAGCTTCATTCAGAGTCGGTGAGGAGAAACAGGCATTTCCAGAGAATGATAAAGGTGTATAAAAGATTTATTTAGAATGAAGTGAATCACCATCTGGAAGTGTCATATCTCTCTCCACTGGTCATAAAGACTGGACTCACATGCTTCAAACTTAGCTGTTAATATTACATAAGATGATTTCTACCTTTAGTTTTTCCTGGATTTTCTTGGAGGAATTCTTGGATGAACCTTGCTGATTTTCTAACCCTGAAGAAATCATTGCCATGGAAAATTTACCTTTCACTAATTTTTGTGAGATTTTTTTCCCTGTGTAAGTGCAGGACTGTGGTGGACGGGATTCTGGGAACATCAGATGTTGGAGTTGCCTTGAATAAAACTGAGATGACACCACCATACATCAGTGTGACACAGTGACCTTGCCTTCCATATCTGCTGGTTTCTGTAGCTCATAGATTTGATTGATATACCAGCCTGTCTTCAGCTCTATCTGGAGAAGCTGTCATCCAATTCTTACGATCTCGCAGATTATTCAAGAAATATGTTCAGTTCTACACAGGGCTCTATCAGAACAAATCAGCATGATTTTTTTTGCTTGTTTTCTCTTTTTTTGCCATTCTTGTAAAACAGCTTGTCCTTCCAAGAGACTGGATATTTGCTTTCTACAGAATCCTTTCACGGTTTTCTGTATGTTCTGTGTCTACTTTGATTTAGATGAAGCTACTTCTGAAATTGTGGTGTTTTGTTGACAAGAATAATAAGTCAGCTGAGCTTTTTTTTTTTTTTCAAATTGCTACTTCTTTCTTTCTTTTACTGCAAGTAACAGTTTGTTTAACACTTTAGAAGGATAACTAAATGTGTGTCCTGTTACAAACTGAGGGAATTTGAACCATTGTATGTGGAAGATTGGAGAAGATCAAACACAGGTTGCCTTACCAATTTTTCTTTGAGGTTGTAGTCTGGAGTAGAATCTTCATTTGCTTTTCTAAGACAAGCCAGCGACCTCAGTTTCAGCAAAATGCAAAGGGACAGCCTTCTAGGGTAACGACCTGCCATCCCTTCTTCCATTTGGTATAGTTAGTGTTGTAGTTCCAGCTGTGCTGAAATATTGGAATCTAAAGCCTAAGCACAGCACCTGATTTGGGACTTACTTACATTTGTACACCAAATTGTTGCGTTTTTTTCTTTAAGAAAAAAATCCCTTAGGAATTGCACAGAAAGACTGCATTAAAAATACAGACTTAAATTGCAAGATTAGACATTTGAAAACTAGGGTTTTCAATTTGTTTTCTGTTCAGTGTATCCTGAAGGACCTCTTCTTTCAAAATGAGCTAAGGAATACAGTTGTCATCTCCATATCCTAAGACTCATATAAAGAATAGTAAACATACGTATTTTATGAATTCTTTTTAAAGCAACAAACAGCACATTAGGCAAACTTTTCCATATGACATACTGTACTTTGCTGTTTGTCTCAGTCTATGGCAGTAAGACAAGGTGGTTGAGTTGTCGAGTATATGTGCATTGTGATAGCTCTAGCAAGCTAAGTGATTTCCAATTAAAAGCGCCTTTTGCTTTTTTCCCCTCTGGGAGCAAAATGAAATGTTACTGCATGACTTCATTAGTAGGCATTTACAGTGTTGGCAGGTGATTATATAACCTCAAGATTTTCTTGTACAAAATGCATTGGTTTTCCAGTCAGAACAACTCTGTGCTTCCTTATTTTTCATTTGAGTGGGTTCATAGTCACAGGACTTTGATCTTTCTCAAAAAGATGCAGATTTGCCATGTAGTCTGGATGAACAAAACTGTATCAATTAACTAGAATAGATTTTAAAATGTCAATAATATTCTAATTTTTTCTCCAATGAGCATGTTCATTTCTCAGAAGAACCTTTCTTCTCTGAAATGTACTAGTAGATATTAATTTTACATACAGGCTTTGTACTTAAATTGTCACAGTTGATTCTTAAGCAGTTTATTTTCCGGGTTTTCCTGTGCTCTTTTTCCTCCCTGTCAAACAGATAATTTCTTCAACATTGCTGATTGTTTTTATTTTGCAATGTATTGCATTGTTTCTTGATAAGCTTAGAGAATTGATTTTTATAAACAAATCCCTCAGGTATGAAAAACTGTATGATGCAAATAACTTTTGAGGTCTAGTTACATGAATCATAGAGGAAAAGGCTCTCCCTAACACTTTGTAGGGATAGATTTAAGGACCTAGTTCTGAGAAATCAGAATTACATGCTGCTTTTGCAGTATAATTTGATTTTTGTTTTTCAGTATTTTACCATTGATATGTGTGTACAAACGAATGGTATTTTCCATGCTATTGTACCCTGGAAGTGATGCTACTTAGAAATTCTTTTTCCAGATAACATTTCAAAATGTTAGCTTTTTCCACTGGACCAAATTATCTCTACTGTTCTAGTAACATTTAGTCATTACTGAGGCTTTTGTGCCAAAAGAGGCTCTTTACCCTCACTTTTAGCTTCCTGTGTAGATTGAAAAATACTTCCTCTTCTTACATGTCTAAACTTTTCCTGGGATAATTTTAACTTAATTTTCTCAGTTGGAAATTACGATATATTTGAGATACTAAGCTACTTAGTCTGTATTAATTGCCTAACACAGCTTTGGTAGATCTCAGTCACATAGATTCACTGTATCATCTAACACTGTTTCTAAACTAATGCTTTTTAAATTTTTCCTAAACATAGAATAATTGCTTTTGTCATTGTCTTTTGTTATGCCTTAAAAAAAAAAGCAGATTCTTGAACTCAAATAATTTGAAGTATACCCTTCATAAGGATATTACTTACTTGTAATAGTTACCTAGCAGGTAACTTGAAGTGAGTTCCTGTATGCATGTGGTCTACTTCCAACTTGCACCCAAAAGCAGTGTTTTAATGAATTTGAGACTTGAAGTTCTAAGTTAGACCAGTCTTTGTGAACAAGATAACAAAAAGAA